CCAGCCCCAGCAGCTCCAGTACCTCTAGTACGAGCACCTCCGGGACCAGCACCACTCCCAGCTCCAGTGACGACAGCAGAAATACCTCCAGCGGCAGAGCCTCAAGCTCCAGAAGCGCGACCCTGACTGCGACCATACCAGTCGTGAAGCTGCTGTGAGGTGAGAGGCACACGCGGACGAAGGCGGCTACTCCACGGAGACCGCGTAGTAGCAGACTCAGAACCCTCAGCACCAGCACCCGCAGCAGCTCCAGAACCTCCAGCGCCAGTACCCTCAGCAGCTCCAGAACCTCCAGCGTGAGCACCCGCAGTAGCTCCAGAACCTCCAGCGCCAGTACCCGCAGCAGCTCCAGAACCTCCAGCGCTAGTACCCTCAGCAGCTCTAGAACCTCCAGCTCCAACACCCTCAACATCTCCAGAACCTCCAGACTCCGCACCCCCAAGCTCCGCACCTCCAGGCTCAGCACCCCCAGGCTCCGCACCCCCAGGCTCAGCACCCCTAGGCTCAGCACCCCCGGAAGTAGCACCCCGAGCAGGACCACCCTCAGCAGAACCTGAGTTACCAGTGACCTCAACCGGCGCAGTCAAGGGAGGAGGGTCTACCTGAGACACACCTGAAGGAGCAGGACCGGGAGTGGGGAGGGGGTCTACCTGGGGAGCACCTGGAGCGAGGAAGAGCGGCGGGGGGGGGGGGGGGGGGGGAGGGGGAGAGGGGCAGTGCGGTAGTGGAAGAGATGGTAAAAGGGAACCGACCCATCGAACGTGACGTCCTGAGAGGGGAAGACACGGCGCGAGGTGGGGTGGTAAAATTGCCAACCAGGCGCGTCAGGAACAAAGCCAAGGAAGACACAGGGAACAGCGCGGGCGGAGAGCTTGTCCGCGATGGTATCGCGGACAAAGACACGAGCATCCCTGACCCGGAAACGTTACGCATCGCCAACCTTCCCCGTCCACAGCAGCGTGGGCGAGGTCTCCCAGAGGGGTCTGCCAGGGAGACTGGAACCGGCCGACTGAGCGGCGTGAGGGTGGTGCTGTCGCGAAAGAAGGAGCGAGAAGCACCTGAGTCAAGTGTGAAGGTGTATAAGGCCTCAGCAGGCGCAGTACCAGAGAGAGCAGACTCACCAGCACCTAGAGCGGCAGGCTCTATACCTGGGTCAGGCGGTACCCACAGGTAGTAGGCACGGTCAGCACTAGTAGACAATGCATACATGGCAGTGAGAATAGCATCATAGTCAAGAGCAAATATATCTACCCTCTGCCCAAGCAGCTCCACCCAGTTGGGGAGCTCAGCCTCGTCGCCAAACTCCGTACGCCAGGCGTCACTCAAACGGGCGAAGCAGCGGGACTGTGTGTGACCAAGCGTCCCGCAAGCCTGACCAGTCCGATCACCTGTGCTAATGACGTACGGGCAGCGAACGGTACTGAAAGACCCTCTACTCTGAGCGTACCACTCGTGAAGCTGCCGGGGCATAAGTGTCTCGCATGGACGCCGCTGCAGCTGCAGCTGGCCACTGCCAGACGCTCCCAACTGACCAGGTCTAGGGCGACAGCTACGACGGCTATACCGACAACCCCAAATAGCGTCCCACTCACTAAGCTGCTGGGGCATGAGAGACTCGCGCGGACGTCGCTGGAGCTGCATCTGGCCACCGCCAGTAGCAGCGGTAGCAGTAGGAGCAGCAGTAGCAGCAGTAACAGCAGTAGCAGCAGTAGCAGCGCTGCCACCCCTACAACCCCAACTAGTGTACCACTCACGAAGTTGTTGGGGTGTGAGGGACTCATGCGGACGTCGCTGGAGCTGCATCTGGCCACCGCCAGTAGCAGCAGTAGCAGTAGTAGCAGTAGTAACAGCAGTAGTAGCAGCAGCAGCGCGTGCAGGGCACGCGCGGCAGGCAGGCAGGTAAGCAGGCCGGCAGGCAGGCAGGCAGGCAGGTAGGCAGGCAGGCAGGCAGGCAGGTAGATGGCGCGGCAGCGCGCAAACAAGGCAGGTGCTCACCAATGGAGGGAAGAGCAGGCACTCGCCGGGCAAGCAGGGCCGGCGCTCAGCGGGCGGCTGCACGGGGTCCAGGGGCGGCGTCGCGGGTCCAGGGGCGGCTGCACGGAGTCCAGGGGCGGCTGCACCAGGGGTGGCTGCTGCAGGGGCCAGGGGCGGCTGCTCTGGGTCCAGGGGCGGCTGCTCTAGGGTCCAGGGGCGGCTGCACCAGGGGCGGCTGCTTCAGGGGCGAGGTGCTGCTGCTCGGGATCCAGGGGCGGCTGCTCCAGGGGCGGCTACTTCAGGGGCCAGGGGCGGCTGCTCGGGGTCCAGAGGCGGCTGCTCCAGGGGCGGCTGCTGCAAGGGCCAGGGGCGGCTGCTCTGGGTCCAGGGGCGGCGCTCGAGGGTCCAGGGGCGGCTGCACCAGGGGCGGCTGCTTCAGGGGCCAGAGGTGGCTGCTCTGGGTCCAGGGGCGGCTGCTCCATGGGCGGCTGCTTCAGGGGCCAGGGGCGGCTGCTCTGGGTCCAAGGGCGGCTGCACCAGGGGCGGCTGCTTCAGGGGCCAGGGGCGGCTGCTCGGGGTCCAGGGGCGGCTGCTCCAGGGGCGGCTGCTGCAGGGGCCGTGGGCAGCTGCTCTGGGTCCAGGGGCGGCGCTCGAGGGTCCAGGGGCGGCGCTCGAGGGTCCAGGGGCGGCTGCACCATGGGCGACTGCTTCAGGGGCCAGGGGCGGCTGCTCTGGGTCCAGGGGCGGCTGCTCCAGGGGCGGCGTAGCTGGTGCAGGGCAGCGCGCTGGTCCCACAGGCGCCGTGACGGGCGACGGGGGGCAGCGCGCCGTCACCGGAGGAGGCGACGCGCGGGGCCGGCGGCAGGCTAAAACGGGGCCGAAAAACGGGCTACGCGGGCGGCGGACGCGGCGCGCAGGGCCTAAGCGGGCTGCGCGCGGGTGGCTTACACGACGCGCGGGCCGGCGGCAGGCTACGCGGGCGGCTGACGTGGCGCGCGGGGCCGAAAATAGGCCTAAACGGGCTGCGCGCGGGCTGCTTAAGAGGCGCGCGCGGGAAAAAAAAAGGGCCGCGCGCGTGCAGCCGAGGCGCGCGCGGGCAGTAGGCAAGGTAGGTAGGCACGTGAGGTAGGTAAGAAGTAAACGGTGGGCCCTAATCCTAGGTCCTAAGGACCTATGCTCTAGATGCCATGTTAGAATCTTAGGCAAGGATGATGCATTGGGTGAAAGTTGGGGTACAAGACTAGGGTGTCGAGAAGTTTTCTGTACCCCCTAAGGCTAGCCCCAATATAGCCTAGACAATAACATGCATATATTTTGACACTAACCACCCCCAACCTCGCCCCCTCCCCGCTTCCTGGACTTGTGAATGCTTCCTTCCCGCCTCTCTGTTCCTTAGTCAAATTCAGAGGCATTTGTACGCTTCTGCTCTCTGTGAGCAGAGGTCCACATGAAAGCAGCACAAGTGCACCTACACAGAGTTTCAACATCACATTTAGTCAGAAAGAAGTCTCCACCATTGCGGCGGAACTATCGAATTACGTAAACGAGGAAATTTTAGTCCAACCCTGATTTTTCCGAGCGGCTTTTTGGCTGGCCCTGTGTTTTCAAGGCATTTTTAGAACGGAGCCCAAAACGTCCGAGTTAGCAAAAAGCCTAACTTTAGCTCTGTACCTGACCCATGAAAGATGTTGGGAACAACAAGTCTTAAGCGCCTCTGTCGTGTCGAAACTCAGGACACAAGCGAAGCAGTCCAAATCGAAGCATCGCGAGTCAACTATCGGAAGTTGAGGTAACCGCTGGAGGTTACACGAAGGTCAAAGGTCAGCGACCTTTGACTTAACAAATACAGCGCGACAGCAAGGACACATAACTGACTCGACATTGAGCAGTTGCCCGAGTCGCACTGTATCGAATCGCAACAGCAAAACAGTTTAATTATATCTATTCGTATTCCTTGTACTCTTATATAAAGCTTTGTATTTGCTTGTTTTAATCAACTTACTTTGCCCTCACATACTAGCGCAAGGTGGTTCAAAGACCTTTTATTCAACGCTTCCGCTATTACATTATCCTACTCATACTTTAACTCTACAAAGATCCTAGGGCACCTCAGCCCAACATGGTATCAGAGCAAGCTAGAGTTTAAAGTTATTTTTCTTTTAACACTCAAATACAGGAAGACATGTCTGCTAGAAAGGAGAGGAGCTCCTCCAATGGTTCTCGAGGCACTACTCCTACTCCACCTCCTGTCTCTGGTCTACAGACAGAGGAAGGTGACAGAATAGTAGGTGTGGGGCCTAGGCTTAGTAGCCTAGGCCCACACTAGGAGGTAGTTGAGTTTGCCCTAGACTAGGAGTTAGGGTTTACGAAGGAGAATTGGAAGAAAGAATGAGATTGACTAGCAAGCAGCAGGACACACAAATAGCAAACCCTAAGGGGTTGTACTCACTATTGAGCACCCCACTGCAAGCTAGACAAATAATATTCTGACACACCCCCATAGCCAAAGTGGGGTGCAATCAGCAGAGCAAGCAAAGTAGAACAAGCTCAGGGTGGATCACAATGTCACCACACATTCTGAGCACAAGTTCAAGAAGCAATAGTTTAAAGTTAAAAATTATGAGTAAAGCTAGTGGTAGTCACAACGGGCAAGTGAGGAGGAGAGAGAGTGAGGGGAGAGGAGATAGGAGGAGACGGCTGAAGCTGCAGACACACGGGCAATAGGAGGCAGACTGGCACAGCGGCTACCGGACAGCGCCCGGACTACAGGAGTAACAGGCCCCGCGGCTCAAGTAGCGGCAGACAGGCAACGGACCCACGGGCGGCTGGCGTAGAAGTCTAGCTCACTGGGCTACCGGGACAGCGCCCCGGACTACAGGTGCTGCGGACTACAGCACGGCAACTTCCAAGCAGCTTCCCCAAACAGTCCCACCCCCCTAACACACACCCGCTGCTACACCGCTAGCTCCACTCCCACGCACCCCCCCTTAAACCATAAACCCCAGTCTCCCACACAACCACCCCCCTCAGCGACAGCTGCAGCAGTGGGAGACAAAGGAGGAGGAGGAGCAAAGGGAGGAATGCACACCAGCCACCCCCATACTCGCAAACGGGGGGGGGGGGGAGAGCAGAAACAGTGCGCACGAGGGCGCAGACAGTAGCAGAGCGCACGAGGGCGCGAGCACGAGGCACGAGCAGCACCAGGCACATGCAGCACAGGGCAGCACAGGCACGGGCAGCAACAGGCACAGGCAGCACAGGCACGGGCAGCACAGGCACGGGCAGCAACAGGCACAGGCAGCACAGGCACGGGCAGCACAGGCACGGGGAGCACAGGCACGGGCAGCACAGGCAGCACAGGCAGCACAGGGCAGCACAAGCACGGGCAGCAACAGGCACAGGCAGCACAAGCACGGGCAGCACAGGCACGGGCAGCACAGGCACGGGCAGCACAGGCACAGGCAGCAACAAGCACAGGCAGCACAGGGCAGCACAGGCACGGGCAGCAACAGGCACAGGCAGCACAGGCACGGGAAGCACAGGCATGGGCAGCACAGGCACGGGCAGCACACGCACAGGCAGCAACAGGCACAGGCAGCACAGGGCAGCACAGGCACGGGCAGCAACAGGCACAGGCAGCACAGGCACGGGCAGCACAGGCACGGGCAGCAGCAGGCACAGGCAGCACAAGCACGGGCAGCACATGCACGGCAGTACAGGGCAGCACAGGCAGGGCAGCACAGAGCGTACCGGGTCCAGGGGCGGCAGCTGCTGCAGGCGCTGGCGGCGGCTGCTGCTGCAGGCTCTGGCGGCGGCTGCTGCTGCTGGGCGGCGGTGGCTGCTGCGGCAGAGCGGCGGCGGCTGCTGCTGCTGGTAGAGCGGCGGCTGCTGCTGCTTGGTCGGTGGCCGCAGCTGCTGCAGGCCTGGCGGCGGCTGCTGCTGCAGGCTCGGCGGCGGCTGCTGCTACAGGCTCTGGCGGCGGCTGCTGCTGCAGACTCTGGCGGCGGCTGCTGCTGCAGGCTCTGGCAGCGGCTGCTGTTGCAGGCTCTGGCGGCGGCTGCTGCTGCAGGCCTGGCGGCGGCTGCTGCTGCAGGGCGGCGGCGTCTGCTGCTGCAGGCCGGCGGCGGCTGCTGCTGCAGGATCTGACGGCGCCCCGCGGGTCCCGCAGGGGGCGTCGCGACGAGCAGGGGCGACGCCCCGCGGGTCCCACAGGGGGCGTCGTGACGAGCAGGGGCGACACCCCGCGGGTCCCACAGGGGGCGTCGCGACGAGCAGGGGCGACGCCCCGCGGGTCCCGCACGGACGTCGCGACGAGCAGGGGCGACGCCCCGCGGGTCCCGTAGGGTCGTCGCGACGAGTAGGGGCGACGCCCCGCGGGTCCCGCGCGGGCGTCGTGACGAGCAGCGGGGAGGGCAGCGCGCAAGCCCCCCCGAGGGCGCTTCGATGGACGAGAAAACCGCCGCGCGCCCCGAGCGCGCGGCGGGCAGAAAATGCAGCGCCGCGCGCCACGGGGCGCGCGGCGGACAGTAGGGCAGCGGAAGACGTTGGTGGGCCCGTTAAGCTAGGCGGCAAGAACATGCTCGCTCTAGATACCATGACAGAATAGTAGGTGTGGGGCCTAGGCTTAGTAGCCTAGGCCCACACTAGGAGGTAGTTGAGTTTGCCCTAGACTAGGAGTTAGGGTTTACGAAGGAGAATTGGAAGAAAGAATGAGATTGACTAGCAAGCAGCAGGACACACAAATAGCAAACCCTAAGGGGTTGTACTCACTATTGAGCACCCCACTGCAGGCTAGACAAATAATATTCTGACAGAAGGGACAACCACGAGACCAGCAGTTGGGTCTACGGAAACACCCGCGGGCTTCGATCCAAGTATGATGGAGAAATTTGTCTCCTTCATGTCCTTCTACGAGCAGCACCAGCAAGGAGTACCTGCGCAGTCAAACAACAGCAACAACAACAACATGACACCCATGAGCCTCGACGGCTCATCCTACGCACGCGGGATTCAGCAACAACAACAACAGCCTACCTTCGCTCCGTACGAGCCCCAGCGCGGCTCCGTCAGCTTCATGCCGCAACCTCAATCTGCACCGGGACAAGAAAGAGCATTGGACGCATTACAAGTTCAATCGCAATTCGCGCATGTTCTAAAGCTTCGAAACGACAAAACCTTTCGACGGAAAGGACTTCTTCACCTGGTCATTCGAGTTCGAGCTGATGATGGAAGGAGCACAGATTCTTGGCTTCTTCGACGGGTCCCTGCCATATCCAACAAACGGCACGCAGTATGAGAAGTAGCAGTACACCTATCAATCAATGATGGCGTACACGATACTATTGAGAAACATTACCCCGACCCAGCAGCAGAACATCAGAACTTACCGAGGCTACGGCAACTCCGCGGAGCTCGCGTACAACCACCTGAAGAACCTGTATCAAGCAACAGACAGTGTAAATCAAAGCCGGTTAATGGCGTAGCTGACAACAATTGAAATGAAACCAGGCGAAAAAGGCATGGCATATATCAGTCGCTGCCGCGAAGTGCGCGACAAGCTTCTTCGATGCGGAGGGTCAATTTCAGAAGACGCCTTCGTCACGGTAGTCATCGGCGGTCTTGGCCCCCACTGGCGCTCCACTCGCGCTATACTACGAGCACACGGGAGAATCTCCGAAGCAGCACTCTGCGCCGAAATCCACGCCGAGCAGCAGGACATGGACCTGCAAGAAGAAAGACATAAGAAGAAAACATTAGTACCGGAATTTGCATTCCACACTCAGCGACGCTACAACAACAACGACAATCGGCGACAGCAACAAGTGAAGACAGTACCTCCATTCTGCCACATCTGCAAGACTTCGGGTCATCCTCGTATGCACTGCCCGTCTCGTCAGACAACACCACAGCGACAACTTCGGCCTTCAAGCTCCCAAGTCGCCTCGACGCAAGCAAATCCTACAACTTCAATCCAAGCTTCAACGACTTCAAGTGGACAATCTGCACAAGGAGCAAGAAACATTGTCAACTGCATGGTAAAGATAACAGACTCCTGCACAACCGAGTCACCACCTCACTACTCACCGGAAGAAGAACTCGACAACAGCACGCCTCGCCGCGAGTCACTCCAGCCGAACCCGACGTACGCTGCCATCGCTCAAAGCGAACCGTCCGGACAAGACACTTGGTTCTTGGACAGTTGCTGCGGACAACATATGTTCTCCTCAGGACGCTTCGTTCAACGCGAACACCGACTTCAACGAGAAGTAGTCATCACGGTCGCCAACAACCAGAACCTGCGCACACGACGACAAGGAGTAGTACAACTTCAGTCACGAGAGACAATCGTTATCTTGCACATGTCAAAGGTACTTATCGCGGAGGGACTCGGCTATAACTTACTGAGCGTAAGCCAGTTGATGGCGAAAGGCATCCACTTGGAAGCCGACAGCACCACCCAGGAGTTTAAGCTGTACCACGGGAAGGGCGGCCTCTACATCGGAAGGGCGATTTTGAATAACAATGTCTTCGTCCTTGATTTCGTCCCCGACCTGGGCACTGCAGACAGCGATGCCATCGTCAACTTCGCCGACTGGACACATCCCCCGGACCTCGATCCCGACTTCAGCCCGGGAGGCTTCTGGTACTCGCACACCATCCCTGAAGCAGAACAAACACGCGCGTTAGCAATGATTCAACAAACGGCAGTAGCAGAAACAACATCGGCAGCAGCAGAGACAACATTGGCAGCAGCAGAGACAACATCGGCAGCAGCAGAGACAACATCGGCAGCAGCAGAAACATCATCGGCAGCAGCAGGACCAACGACACCAGTCTTCGTCGACGAAGCACCACCAACACCCGCACAGCAGCTGAACCCGACTCAACGAGAAGTCCACAGAAGCGCTAACTTCGTCGCCAGCTTCTACTCCAACTCCGACGCGTATCAACGCTCACCCGGACATCGCGCTCCTGAAGACATCTGGCATGCACGCACAGGACATCCAAGCAACACAGTGTTAAATAATACGATACGAGCAGGAGTCCTAGACAAGGATTCGCTACTACTACCCGACGGCAGAGAACTTCAACGAGCACGAGGAACTTGCCTCATCTGCCCCGAAGCCGACTTACCACATCGACCGTTTACTTCCCACCACAACCCGAGCGCACCCGCGTACGCACCACTCGAGAAGGTGTACAGCGATATTCTCTTCAATCGAGAACCAGGACAAGTTACCTACAACTACACGATAACCTTCATCGACGCCGCCACTTGATACGTCTGGCATCGAAACCTACCCAGCCGCGACATGGCACTCGCAGCATTCGCCGCTTGGCTACCGGTAGCAGAGAGAGAATCAAGAACACAGCTGAAAAGCTTCCTGTTAGACGAAGGAGGAGAATATACCTCTCAGCGCTTCAAGCAGTACCTGGCGGAAAGGGGAATCAAGCAACTCCTCTCCCTTCCCTACGCCCATCAACAGCAAGGTGTCGCAGAAAGAATGAACAGGACTCTGCAGAACAGCATGCGCAAACTACTACGTGGCATGCGGCTACCCAACCACCACTGGCCTGCAGCAATGGACCATGCTGTCATGCTGCACAACTTAATGTCGTCGTCCTCACTCCCGAACAACGCATCACCGCATCTACTGTGGACAGGGAAGCAGGGCAGCACAAAAATGTTACGAGTTTTCGGATGCATGGTACAGTACCGACCCCCAGAAGCACGAGCGGGAAGATTTTCACAACGGGCACAGTGGGGACTACACCTCGGCATCGAAAAGAATTACAACGCGTGGAAAATCTTCGACGTCCACTCAAAGGAAACAGTAGCAGCACGTGATGTGATCTTCTACGAGCGACTCACCCTTCAGACGTACCTCGCCAACTTGCACGAGAATCAGGACCCCACAGGTGGCTTTCGTGGTGGGCGAGCCTTCGCCTCAGCAGCGGACGAAGCAGACTGGGATGAACAGAACGTCAACAACGCATCGGAAGAAGTCGGACATCTCCCGTTCTGCTCCGTCGACGTCCCCATGGACGAAGAAAATCCTCGCGACAGTGTCAACGCCGAAGTCTTCTATCACTTCGCCGACAACGGTTACGTAACACCTGCGACAGTCAACACAAACGAAGCAGAACGGATAGGGCCGAATTTCATACCCGACCCAGAAGCGGGAGACGAAGCAGCTTATCCCGAGGATCCAACACTCCCCCGATACTCACAGGCTGGACTGCAAATCCTTGGCCTCGTCACCGCAGTCCACGGCAACGCACTTCCTAAGGAGCCTGCGACGGTTCAGCAGGCTCTGGGGGGGGAACACAGGGAGAAATGGCGTGAAGCCATGGACAGAGAATTAAAGGCATTGGAGGAACGCAACACCTGGAAGGTCGTTCTCGCAAGCGTGGCAAGGAACAAGACCATTCTCACCGGGAAATGGGTCTTCCGCATCAAAACGAAAGCAGACGGCACAATCGAGAAATTCAAAGCACGCTGGGTCGTGCGTGGATTTGACCAGGAGCACGGATGAGACTTCACCGAGACATTCGCCCCGGTTAGCCGACATACCTCTCTTCGAATTCTTCTCGCCGTTGCCGCCATGAAGAAGAAGAAGCTGCGACAAATTGATGTCGCCAACGCATTCCTCTACGCACCCGTCGACGCCGAAATCTTCGTCGAGCTCCCACACGGTACCCACAGAAAACCCAATCAGGTTTGCCAGCTGCTGAAATCGCTCTACGGAATCAAAGAAGCCCCGCGGCTGTGGCAACAGCACCTACACACTCGCCTCACTCGCATCGGATTCCGCCAACTACCTCACGACCAAGGGATGTATCGACTCACTAAAAACACCGATTACATCCTACTGATCGTCTACGTCGACGACCTACTCTACATTGGCTCCACCGACGACATCACTACCTGGTTCGAAGGGGAGCTGCAGAAGGACCTCACGCTCACGGTTTCCTCTACCGTCACTCGATACCTCGGACTCAACATCCGCGAAGAAGAGAATGCTATCTACCTCAGCGCCGAGAAATATGCCAACACTATCGCCAAGCGCTTCTCGCTCACACCTACCACTATCGCCACACCATACCGCTACACGGCAGGAAACGACAAAGGAAGTTCTACTCCACTCAAAACTGCCGGAATACGCGACTACCAGAGGAAGCTGGGCTGCCTCCTCTTCGCAGCCGTCACCTGCCGCCCAGATCTGTCTTACTCCGCAAGCCAACTCGCTACCTACCTCAAGAGACCCGAAGCAGAGCACCTGGCGGAGCTCGACCGCGCACTACACTACTTCGTGAGCACTCCGACGATCGGCCTGACTTACTACAAGAGTGAAGCTACGTCAACGAAACTAATCGGCTACGTCGATGCCGATCATGCCGGCGATTCAGATAACAGGCGCTCTCGCACTGGCTACATCTATCGTCTCGAGCCTATCGGACCCATCTCCTGGCAGTCGAGCAAGCAGGAACTAATCGCTCTCTCTTCAGCTGAAGCAGAATATATCGCCCTCTGCTCAGCCACCAAGGAAGGACTCTACCTTCGCGAGCTACTGGAAGAAGCAAAGTTAGCCGAGTTACCCAACTTCACCCTGTTCTGCGACAACCAATCTGCGATTCGTATCGCCAACAAGAGCGGATTCGCGAACAGAACGAAGCATATCGCTCTGCGATACTTCTTCGTGAAAGACGAGATCGAGAAAGGGAAACTCGAATTATCCTACTGTCCCACGTCCGAGATGGCAGCCGACTATTTGACCAAGAAGCTCGGAAAACAGAAGTTCGAGTACTGCATGCTGCTGACTGGACAAAGCCACGTCACCATCAACGACACTCCAGAAGCGAAGGGGAGTGTTGGGAACAACAAGTCTTAAGCGCCTCTGTCATGTCGAAACTCATGACACAGGCGAAGCAGTCCAAATCGAAGCATCGCGAGTCAACTATCGGAAGTTGAGGTAACCGTTGGAGGTTACACGAAGGTCAAAGGTCAGCGACCTTTGACTTGACAAATACAGCGCGACAGCAAGGACACACAACTGACTCGACATTGAGCAGTTGCCCGAGTCGCACTGTATCGAATCGCAACAGCAAAACAGTTTAATTATATCTATTCGTACCGTCAGCCCCCGGATAGAAACGCCCCTGGGGTTCTAAAAAAACACGTTTTTTTAGGGGGTGCGCTTATAATTGAGGATTTTTATAAGCGCCGGTGCTTATATAATAGCATATATGAAATTCGTCGTTTTTCCACCAAACTGTAGATCCCGTTCTTGCGAATTGAATCGAGTCGAAACTATACAGGGTTCGATTGAGAATCTCGCATGCAAGTTGGCAGGGATTGATTCCCTGCCAACACACACAGTCAGAATGTGAAACTATACTGTACAAGGCTGTGATTGAGAATCTCGCGTGCAAGTTGGCAAGGATTGATTCCCTGCCAACACACACAGTCAGAATGAGTCAACGTGCGCCTTTGACAGCTCATTCTGACTGGACGCGTTGCCAGTGAGCCAGGCGAGGGTGAGGGGGCATCGAAATTCAAAATGTGGGAATGAAAATGTTGAGTTTCGTTACAACGATTTCAGTAAGATTATAATAAAAAAGAAGAGGGTGGCGCTTATAATCCGTAAGCCTTCAGGGGTGTGCTTATAATCGAGGACCGGATATAAGCGCCCTCATCCTTTTATAAGCGCCGGCGCTTATCCGAGGCCTGCGCTTCTATCCGGGGGCTTACGGTATTCCTTGTACTCTTATATAAAGCTTTGTATTTGCTTGTTTTAATCAACTTACTTTGCCCTCACATACTAGCGCAAGCTAGTTCAATGAGCTTTTATTCAACGCTTCCGCTATCGTATTACATTATCCTACTCAGACTTTAACTCTACAAATATCCTAGGGCACCTCAGCTCAACAAAAGAAATATCCTAAGTTATTTTGTAGGACAGTGTGCTTGCCTGTATAGTCATTTGATTTGCTACGCTGTTGAAGCTTTCTGCCCTGTTGTGCCTTGCACTCAGTTCTTCCAGCTCTTGTGAATTGCACCAAGGATGTCTTCCGAAATGGAATGAGTTGGCTGTATCCCTCCAGAGCATTCTAAGATTTGATAAACCAGCAGTGTTTTTTTTGCTTGCGTCTTCAAATAACGGTAGACAGACAGAGTACAACACTACCCATAGCCGGAAATAGCTGGTAGGCTCGAGCCCTTATTAGCCTAAAAAGGCAGCAGTCGGCTGGGTGCACGGACAGCAGCAACACATACAGCAGCAGCAGCAGTTGAACACTTTTTTAGCGACGTCTGTGAGAACCCTCTTAGGCGTCCGAGGTGGTGCCGTAGCTGGCGTATTTGCAATCGGGCGCAACGACAGACGAGGAGATGTAGTCCTCCACCTCTCCGTCCAGGAACCCCCTGCCCTCCGCCTTATCCACGTCCACGGGGTGGTGCAGCAGCGCCGCCAAGTGCGAGTACTTCACCGCGCGCTGCAGCTGCTCCGGCGAGTTCCTGAAAGTCTGTCCCAGTACGCCGTGCGCGGCTGACGTCATCTTCACATCGGAGAGCTCCACGTTGAAGTGCGCCTCCGCCTCGGTGGGCGTCTGCAGCAGCGGATGCGCCACGCGCACGCGCACGTCCAGTTCCCCCAGCCCCGCCACGCGCACCTTGAACTGATCCACGTCAAACGGCCCCTCTTTCTCCTCCGCGACTTTGGTAACCACCAGCCCGCTTGTCGAAATCGACTCGCCGACGCTTGGAGGCGCCGTCGTCGTGCCGTCTACCTCGAGCAGCGAGAGGAAGCCGTTATCCCCGCGCTCCTGCTGTTTGCCCTTGCGTGCGACCATGCGCAGCGTGTGGTTCGCGCCGTCAGGCGTCATCCACACCACGCCGACCTCCTTAATCCACGTGTGCAGCTCCGTGCTGGAATCCTTATTCTCATTCGACTTCGCAGACGCGGAAATTGCGGGCGGTGCGCCTTGGTATCCATCCAGATGCATGTTGACGTGGAATCGACGGTCGGAGAAGAGGCAGAACGATTTATCGAGCCGCCCAGTGAAGTCGTAGTGCGTGCCGTGCGCGCCCGTGAGATGCGGGTCGTTTTCAACGAGCGCGGTGCCGTTGCAGAGCCCGCCGACGAAGCTCAGCGGGTACGTCGCCGCATTCGCAGTCTGCGTGGCCGCGTCGCCCGCATTCGGCGTCTTGAAAGAGCCTGATGTTCCCGAGCCGCCGTTCTTCTCCAGCAGGTAGCACTGTATGCGGTCGATAAATCCCGCCACCTTCGAGTTTTCTCCGGCAAGACGCGAGCTGGAGGGGAAGAGATAAAGGATCAAAGGGAAGGCGGGAAGCATAGCAGAAGGAAATCAGTCACTCAAGCATACGACATTGTGCTCGGCGCACAACGAGCAACGTTCTGAAATCAGCGACTTCGTTCAGCGCGAGTTTTCAACCCGCACTCACTTTTTAAACCAGTGCCACTGGTAGCAGTAGGTGGAGCGCGCGCACGCGCGGCAGCACTCCTGCAGCGTGTCACCATACACGCCCTTCACGACATCGAAAATGGTCCCCACTTCCGTGTATCGCTCGAAGTTCACGGGACCCGATCCGCGCTGGTGTGGCGCAAACTGCCCGCCCTGGCTGTTGAACAGACCCTGGTAATCACCGATGTATTTGTAGCTGGTGTAAGTGGACTGCGAGATCGTTGCGGTAGCTAGGTTGTCTATGTAGGGGCAGACGTAGCGAGTGTGGCATCCGCCAGCAGGCATGTTAGCTGCATTTGCGGCATGCAATACAAGACCGATGATGGCGAGGATTAAGCAGAGGCTTCTAAGGAAAGACATATTGCGCTTCAAATCTGCTCTGATAACAAGCTCTGGACGTTGTTCGAGCAGAAAGTATTTCTTCCGAAGAGGGGGCTGACGACTTCTATAGCGGTGTAAGAGAATTGCGTCTGAGAAATACTTGCGCTCACGGGGCCAGTGAGACCTGCTCGTGAAACGACCCAGATTCCTGAGAAATACTGTGCTGCTGGTTTGCTGGCAGGAGGAGGCCACCACATGCGAGTCGCGCCCGAACCCGCATGCTTCACTGAACTGAAGTGAACTGGACTAAACTGAACTGAACTGAATACAGAACAAATGAGGTTGCATCGAGTCGCGTTCTTGAGGCAAGGTGAGCATTAACCACACCGTAACGCAAGTTACCGATCTGAGATATGCACATATATCACGCCACCGTGTGGAACATTCAGAAGCAAAGTGCATTGCAGCGAGTCGCGCACTGGCCAAGGCTGGCATCATGTGACGGCCCAGCCTGGCCTGATGCGAAGCGCCCACAAGTTCCCTCATGCACAACAAACACAGCAGCCATGAGGCGATCTGTTTGTGAGCGCTCAATTCTGGTATTAGGGAGTGGTGAAATCTGGATTATCCTCCTTTCATATATATATATATATATATATATATATATATATATATATATATATATATATATATATATATATATATATATATATATATATATATATATATATATATATATATATATATATATATATATATATATATATATATATATATATATATATATATATATATATATATATATATATATATATATATATATATATATATTCTTTCTCATCCCCCCTTCTCATGTATCCGGCCCAGGCAGAGCTGACACACACACGAAAAAAAAAAAAAAAAAAAAAAAAAAACAACAACAACAACAACAACAACAACGAGTCTGATTTTTTTGGGGGGAAATTTTCTTTTAGTCTGAGGAAAAGTATAAAAAAAACAAATGACAAGTCTGATTAATCAAGTTTCACAAGGCAAAATCATACTTTGCTAGAGTTCTGCCAATTATGTACCCATCACTGTTGTACAGCACTGCCACTACTGTACCGTGCACGTCGCAGCGGAAGGGATTTGACTGCTCCAGCATACAGTTTTACCCGCGCTAACACACCGTGGCTACGGCAGTTTTGGCACATTATTGATACAGTGCGCCAATATGGCTTCATTTCAAGGGAAAATAGGAGGCAAAATATTACTGTTACGAATAGTGAAATACGAATGAATTATTGTGCACTCCTTACCGCATTGTCAGAATATTATTCTTATGTTCTAGCCTGTAGTGGGGTGCTCTATAGCGAGTACAACCCTTCTAGGGTTTGCTATTTGTATCCCCATTTCTGCTAGTTCATCCTCTTTCTTTCTTCTAACTTTTGTCATGCTATCAGAGCAGGTCGATCCCTTTGGATCGATCCTGTGGGTGGGTTACCACCTCGCTTCCGCTGCTACCTTTCCCTTCCCGCCGTGCGCCCCGAGGCGCGCGGCGGTTTTCCTTCCCGCCGTGCGCCCCGAGGCGCGCGGCGGTTTTCTTCCCGCCATGCGCCCCGAGGCGCGCGGCGGTTTTCTGCCCGCCGTGCGCCCCGAGGCGCGCGGCGGTTCATTGCCCGCTGTGCGCCCCGAGGCGCGCGGCGGGCTTCTCCCCTACGTCGCGGCCCCGCCCCGATCGTCGCGGCCCCGCCCCTCGACGCGGCCCCGCTCTACGTCGCGGCCCCGCCCTGGCCCGTCGCCGCCCGTGAGCCTGCCCGGCTCGGCCCCGCCCTTCGTCGCGGCCCCGCCCCGGCCCGTCGCCGCCCGTGCGCCTGCCCGGCTCGGCCCCGCCCTACGTCGCGGCCCCGCCCCTTGTCGCGGCCCCGCCCTCCAACCAGGCCCGTTGTGGGCCCCTTTCACCACACCGCCTCCCCCCCCCCCCCCCCCCCCCCCCCTGCCATTTCCTGTCGCCCGTCGCGGCTCCTTCGGGGGCCGCAAGCGGCCCCCTCAGGTCGCCACGACGGACGACGGGAGGGGCGAGCTGTGGGGTGGCAGGTATGGGGGTGGCCGGTGTGCCTTCCTCCCTTTCTCCTCCTCCTCCTTCGTCTCCCACTGCTGCAGCTGTCGCTGAGGGGGGTGGTTGTGTGGGAGACTGGGTTTAGGGTTTAAGGGGGGTGCGTGGGAGTGGAGCTAGCGGTGTAGCAGTGGGTGTGTATGAGGGGGGTGGGACTGTGTGTGGGAGGTTGAGCGGAGGTTGCCAGTTTGTCGTCCGCAGCACCTGTAGTCCGGGGCGCTGTCCCGGTAGCCCAGTGAGCTTGTCGCTGAGCCGGTCGCCTGTGGGTCCGTTGCCCGTCTGCCGCTACTTGAGCCGCGGGGCCTGTTACTCCCGTAGTCCGGGGCGCTGTCCCGGTAGCCACTGTGCTCGCCACTCCTGTTGCCCGTGTGTCTGCAGCTTCAGCCGCCGCCTTCTATCTCCTCTCCTCTCACTCTCCCTCCTCCTCCTCACTTGCCCGTTGTGACAACTGCTAGCTTTGCTCATAATTGTTAACTTTGAACTATTTCTTCTTGACCTTGTGCTCAGAATGCGTGGTGACATTGTGATCCACCCTGAGCTTGTACTGTTTTGCCTGCTCTGCTGATTACACCCCACTTTGGCTATGGGGGTGTGTCAGAATATTATTCTTATGTTCTAGCCTGTAGTGGGGTGCTCTATAGCGAGTACAACCCTTCTAGGGTTTGCTATTTGTATCCCCATTTCTGCTAGTTCATCCTCTTTCTTTCTTCTAACTTTTGTCACGCATCTAGCGAAGCAGGCACTATCGAGGATGAAGCCGAAAGGGCGGAAGTGATGCGAATGGTCGTACGGTTACGAAAGCATCTGGACTGTCGGGCAGACAGCATCAGGCACCAGCAGTGGCGAGGATTCTGCCCGAACAGTTTCGTAACCACATGGAGTCGCACGGTTGAGTTTCGATGTAATAAGGGAATGTACCCGTCAGAGTACATGGCTAGCTAGATCGATTGGTATTCCCCTGTAATCTTATTTATATTTCTGTATTCGCATGTTTTTATCAATCTCAAGCATTTTACATTCACTCTGCTATTGAGGTCAAGGGCCCACCACCACTAAATCAGTAGTGTGCGAACCTTCATGAAGTGATCCTGGATATGATCAACTTCTGATCGCAACATGGTATGAGAGCGACTCAGGAATCCTTCGCAATACCACCTCCGAAACTTTCGGCGAACGAGAACCGGCGTCCGGCACACGCTCACGTGTGAGAATGGCCGGAGGATATGGAGGTCAGACAAATCTGACAGCTGAAGTGCAGACCAGCCCAGCTGCGACAAGCGAGGAAACGACGACGATTCCTTTTGCCGTCCTCGCACAAGTGCTTCACCGATTCACAAGCCTGGAGCAGGGACTCCAAACATTGCGATGTGGCGATGCGGGAACATCTTCCCAACCCTCTCAACCGGCCTCGAACGGCCAAAATTCCGCCTCGCACACTTTCTCCCTCGACACAAATGGCTCAACACCCAAGACTCCCCGTCCCAGCGAAGAAGCAATTTTCTTTGCGCAATCAAGTTTCTGAGCATATCAAAAATAAAGACAAGTGCGTGCTTTGACGGCTGAGACTTCTATACTTGGAGCTTCGAGCTGGAGCTGCTGCTGCAAAACGCGCAGATTTTTCACTATTTCGACGGGAGCTACTCGGGACCCACAGAAGACATCGACGACGCTAGGGCGAAGTACTACAACGAGTCCCTCATGGCGTACAGGGTCATACTGCGCAACATGTCGCCGTCGGAGCAACTGAATATTCGATCGTACAAGATTGCGGTTGCTCCTGCCCTCGACGCTTGGCGCCACCTGAATGTCAAACATTACATATGTTGTGTTAGTTTAGGCTACAGTGGGTTAGCCTATAGAGGGTACACAATTCTAGGGTTAGGTTTTGACCTATTTGTACCCAACTGCCATTCTACTCAATCATTCCTGTTTCATACTTCTGAGATGGTTTCAGAGCAGGTCCTTCGTTAGGACCGAATTTTTTAAGGGCCCACCACTACCTATCTCACTACCTGCGCCTAGGGCGCCTCGTTCTTACGGCCCCTTGAGGCCCTCGCGCTAGCCTCTTAAGGCCCCTCACGGCCGCGTCGCCCCTTAGCGACCTCTTCGGCCCCGCGCTTACCTCCCTAGAGGCCCCGTCGGCCCCACGCTAGCCTCTTACGCCCCCCCCTTCAGGCCCCGCGCTTGCCCCTTAAGGCCCCGTGCGGCCCCGCGCTAGCCTCTCACGGCCCCTTAGGCCCCGCGCTAGCCTCTCACGGCCCCTTAGGCCCCGCACTAGTCCCTTCGGGCCCCCGTCGGCCCCGTGCTAGCCTCTAACAGCCCCCGAACGGCCCCGCGCTAGCCCCGAACGGACCCGTTCGGCCCCACGCTAGTTCCGACCGGCCCCGTGCGGCCCCGCGCTAGCCCCGAACGGCCCCTTCAGGCCCCGCGCTAGCCCCTTAAGGCCCCCCGTCGGCCCCACGCTAGCCTCTCACGGCCCCTGAACGGCCCCGCGCTAGCCCCAAGCAGGCCCCGTGCGGCCCCGCGCTAGCCTCTCACGGCCCCTTCAGGCCCCGCGCTAGCCCCTTAAGGCCCCCAATCGGCCCCGCGCTAGCCTCTCACAGCGCGACACGGGCGAACCGCGCGACCCGAGCCGAGCCGCGCGACCCGAGCCGAGCCGCGCCGCCCCCAACCGAGCCGCGCCATCCAGCCGAGCCGCAACCCGAGCTGCAAACGAGCCGCGCCACCCTGCCCTATCTGGTTCGTCCTACCTATTTCTGCTACTGCTACTGCTACTGCTACTGCTGCTGCTGCTAGTCTACTGTTCCTATGGCTAGCCCACAGGTTCTTGTGTTCGATGCTGAGGGCCGCCCTGTGAAGTTTGACACCT